ATCGGTCACTAGATAGCAATATATTTATATAGCAATAATTATAACAATTACTATTTTTTGTTTGTGTGTGTGTATAAAACCACCCAGAGTCGCTGGGAGTTGAGTGGCATATAAATATTATTATTGTATTATTGTTATTGTTATTAAAGGAGTGTGGGTCTATTTGAACAGAAAATGCGCAGGGGGAAGACTGGTCTTTAAAGAAAACTACTGTTATGACTTTATCATGAGAGTACAGTAATGCATTGAAAATCACTGTAAAATGTTTTGAGAAAGGGATAAATATCTGAAAAATGTTGCCAGTAAATCTTAATAGAATTTCAGATTTGTTTTTCAGATAGCAGATGATAAAAATATGTCTCACTCCATATTGCTGATGGGAATTCAGTGTAAGGAAGACTGGCTGATCTTTATCTAAATATAAAATGTCATCCACACCAGACTTACAGCTCTTTGTGTGAATCTGAGCATCTACTGAAGGTTTATTCAGAGGTGTTCTTTTACAGAGTTTACCTAGGAAAGCAAATACTTGTCCAGGGGGATAACTTTAAGATAAGGTAATGTGGATGACAATTACTTTTCACTGAGTATCCTACTTAACATGCAACCAGAATGAAGAAAAAATGTTGGCTTCTTCCTGAAAATCTTTTAATTCATTCTTCAAGTTGACATTCCAGTGTACTTTGATGATTGTAAGTTTAAAACTTAAGGTTCAGCAGAATTAGTCCAGTTCAGAAACTCAAACTAAAGAGCAAAGATCTGTGGATGCAGTTCTGGATAAGAATGTCTGACCTCACACAACTGCTCCACTAGCTTGGTTAAGAAGAGGCTGTTTCCCTACTTTCTTTGTTGGTACACGAATCAGTGGCAGGAAGTGTTGCTCTTTCTTTCCAGCCTTGTGCACTAGGATACCTCTGTTTGCAGAACTTGTACTTTCTAACTGCTCAGATTGGTGTAAACCAGTGTATATGTTCAATGTCTTTATTCCAGATTAACTGATAATCACCTGATTAACTGATAATTTGTGTCATCTTCACAAATCATGCAAATAAGAACACACTTATACAGGTAGCATGGTTTTAAGTTTATTTCAGGAATCCATTCTGAACATGCTTTCTAATAGTTTTTAAATTGCATTTCAGGATGCATGATCTTCACATGATGGTTTGCAGATTACAAAAAATATGACATGTAATTAATCAATTTAATTAAAGCACAGCACAAGCAACAGCAGCTTGTTTTTTTAATAGTGGCTTAATGGAAGTTTTTTTAAAATTATTTCAGGTGTATACCGAAAAATGTGTCTTCATAGGGTTGCTGTTGTTTAATAAAGGCATACATGTCTCGCTAGGGGAAGATTTAATAAAAGCCCTAAGGCAGGAATAGGCAGCTAGTGCATTGTCCAAATACTGCTGAACTACAACTCCTAGTACACCTTGGCTATTGGCCATGTTGTTAAAGCTGCTGAGAGTTGTAGCTCAGTAGCATCAAGAAGGCCAGGGGTTCTCCCCTCTTTAGCTTACACGTAGTATTCACCAAGGGGATTCACCCACTGGTACTAGCAGAGGGACAATGAAGAGGGCCTAAATAATCATTTTAATGGTTGAGAGTCATTCTAGTTAGACGTTTCTTCAGATAACCTTTTCCCAGCACCCTTACGACTTCAATCCGGAAACAAGCAACCTGTGCTACTGAGTGTAATATGATCTGAATGTGTAGTTGCTTCATTTAGTATCAGTTGCAGTTTCTAAACCAGAGTGCATTACTGTAATCTAAACTGCATGTAACCAAGGGATGCATCTATGTGACTAGCTCAATTTTTTGCTATGTCAGGCTGTCAAGCCAACCTAAGCTCGTACAAAGCAGTCTGACTAACCAGAGCCACTTGTGCTTTAATAGGCAGTCTGGTGCCTAGAGGCTGGGTGGATATCTAGATCCAGACCTAAACCAGGTCTACCAGATCTGAGCTGCAGAAATCTGAATGACTACTAGATGGCAGCAGATCTGTATCTCTTTGCTGCCATTGAATGGTGGTCTGGTTTTTGCACCCCAGATCTGGTAGGCCTATATAAACCTCCATGCTGATTTCCAAATTTCAGTATATCTGCGATCCTGTAACAGCAAGGATTGGGTCTAATACAAACGTAGGGCAGTGTATTAGATGGTCAGGTTGGTGCCATACGCATCTATTCACGTATACGTTTAAACCTGTGTGAAAGCACACACATGTATGCATCTGATCCCCCTCTTAGTTCACTTCTTCCCAGCAGTCTTATTCCCCATGAGTTGGCTGATTACCTGATTCGATTCAGTTGTTTGGCTTCTTGCTGTTAATGTCAGGAGAAAACTAGCAGTCATTTTCTGCCCATCATCTGACCTGTGGGAAGGAAGAGTGGGAGGCTTTCTGAAGCTGAACTCTTCTGGCTGTAGGCTGCACACAGCTTTTTGGTTGATTTTTGTCTACCCGTGATCTAATACATATGGGTTAAGAATTATACACCAATCTGAAATACTATTCAGATCAGCTATCCAAATATATGTCCAATGCTATGAGAAATTCCTCTGTAATTTACTATTTGAAGTACAATACTTTTTCATCTTTTTTTTTTTTTTTTAAAGATACTACACTCCTCTTCAACCAGCATTTTATCCCTTTTCATATAATCAAACAATGGCCGCAGCTCCTAATCTGGAGATGATGAATGAGCAAGAAGCTCTTCAGGGAGTTTTGGATCCAAACATTGTTCAGGAACCTATTCAAGGTGTGTTTATTTTTTTTTCTTTTGAAACATTGAGCCCAAAAAGTGCAACAATTTATTTGTTCTAGAATTTTTGAAAATTGCAGGATTGTTTTCATTTCAGAAATGATTCTATTGTGAAGAGCATTTTTTAGAATAAAATGTATGATTTAAAAGTAAGCTTTGCAATAAGAGTGGCAGAAATGAATCCTCATCTTAAATGTACAGTTTTTGTTATCCTTGATGAAACAGTAATGTATACTAAACATATTTTAAAATAGTATGTACTGAATTCTGCAAGTTTTTACTGAAAGAATCATAATCTTTCCACTACATGACATTCAAGAATGAGTTACTTCAGTTAAGATGGTCCTTCATTTAAACGTTGCACTCAGGTATATATTTGCCCAAAAGAAAGCCTCATTGGGACTAAGTTTTTTTATTATATTATAAATCTGTTATTTTCCATGCATATTTCCCAACTGCCTTTCATGTTAGTAGTGCACACTAGAATTTCATTATCTAATAACGTGATGGGGCTTCTCATTTCTCCCATCCCTTTCTCAAGTCTTCTCAGTAAACCTGCACATGAGGTCATAGGTTATTGATTGAAAAGGAAATTTTCATTCTTCTGTGCTCTCTGAAATACACAACTGAGTTCACACATCATACTAAATCACAGTTTTACCTCAAGAAATCACAATGGCTGGGCTCACACAATACATCGAAATTAATGCAATCTTTGAATCAGCCACCATTTCATCAGTAGGATTAATTCGCTGGATTTCTTCCATATATCCCCTGAAAATGATGGTCATACTCCTCCAAAAGTTAAACATAGCAATACTTAACTGTTCTCCCATTATACAAAAATAATGGTTTATCGGTTACCTTGCAATTATTGTGCATTATTATACAGCTTTTAATAATATACAGCTTTATTATACAACATTTAATATTCAATAATATTTTCTAGTAACTATTAATTGGTTTCAGAGACATTTTCAAGTGTGATCTGATTCAGTTGCATTAAAGTTCATGACCTACCCATTGCCAGTATATGGAACAATGTGAAGATTACAGGATTTGTTTGATCAGGGATAATGATGTGGGGGTGGGATCAAACACCAAGTTCCTCCCTTCCTGCAAAGATTTTTTTACTCCAGGGAGGAGGTTCTTCAAGACACTAGGAGCTCTTTGAAGCTTCTTGGGAGCTAGTCCTCTAAGGAATTGCTGTGGGTTGAGAAAGCCCAGGAAACTGCTTATTCATGACACAGGTGAGTAATGGCAGAACTTGGGGGAGAGGCCGTGTGAACTAGGAAAGACGATGAGGGGGCTGATTAGATCTGTGGACCAAACTTTCTCCATTGCTATCTTGGATGATGGTAATTTTGCTAAAACCTTGATAAAGTTGAAAAATATTTCTAAACTAAAACTTAAGAACATTCTTCTGCCATTACTATTAAATAAGACATCTCCTGTCTTTCAGCAGCTGTTAAAGGAAGGAAAAGAAGAAATAAATCTACTGAACCCAAAAAATCTGCTGCTAAACCTGTAAAATCAAAAGGGAAACAGGAAAAAATCACAGATAGTTTCAAAGTCAAGAGAAAAGTTGATCGGTTTAATGGTGTTTCTGAAGCTGAACTATTGACCAAAACTCTTCCTGATATACTGACCTTCAACTTGGACATTGTAATTGTAAGTCAAATGTAAAAAACTATTTATTTGTAGATAAAGGTTATGGTCAATTAACTAAGCAATTTGGTGATAAATTCAGGGATGGTGTTCATGATAGCATGTTGCAATTATATGGAAATATCATAGATCTCTACACTGACATTTAATGACCTTCTTATAATCTCATTTCTGGTTTTCCCTTGCTATCTTGAAATATTTACAAGACTGACTGAATAAGACAGGTTGTAATTTCTGGAGATTAAAACTTATGACTCCTTTCTTAACTTTGAATTTTAGTATATTGCCTTAATCCAATATCCTGTATTAGGAAACAAAGTTATGTAATAAAAGTATGGCCTCAATTTAATGGATGCCCATTTAGTGGCTTTTCGACACAGTGGACAGAATTTCCATCTGAGCACCTCTAAAATAACTGCGAAATCCATTGCAGGTGAAGTAGACTGGACAAGCCCATTACATTTACATTAATTTATATAACAATATTTATGTAATGACATACATCATTTGCATGATGTGATTATGCAAATTATATAAATCACCATGAACTGGTGGATTTAATGGACAGTCAGGAGTAACAGATGCCCCATTTCTCCAAATAGTTTATTTGTATTGTGCTTTGTTCTTTTCATTACATCTAATTAATATATCTTTATCACAAAAAAAAAGTGGCTTCATTTATGTATTCCTCCCTAGATTGGTATAAATCCAGGTTTAATGGCAGCCTACAAAGGCCATCATTATCCAGGACCTGGAAACCATTTCTGTAAGTCCCTCCTTTCATGAATTGTGGAAATTTGGTTTTAATCTAAAATTTTTTGATTTTAGTAACAGAAAGTGATAGGTCCTAGGTTGTGACTGTAATCAAGATTTTGTTATTGCTTGATAGATTGATAAATATGTTCATATGTCAGTGATGTAGCTCACACATTTCTTTTGCATAAATTCAGAGCAAATTATGTGGCAAAACTGCCTGTTAGGACATACAACAACAAAGCTGGACCAGTAAATACTTGGGCAGGAGACCAGTAGGAAATCTGTGGGCTTTGGACTGGACTAGGAAATCAAAAGATATCCTGAAGAATGCAAAAATCTACCGTCTTGTTGACAAGAAGATGTAACCATGTGGACACCAGCAGTTGAGCTTGACTCAAGGGAGACTCTATTATTTTCTTTAGATAGTAATAAAGACTATACTATGATGTTATAACTTATGTTGATTAGCCTCATTTTGCATAAGAGTATAGCTACCACACTGTTTCTGAAAGTAACATTTTGTTGAAAATAAATTATAGAGTTTTGATGTGTACTTTCCAGAGAATATGAGAAGTATATTTTTTGACTCCATAGGGAAATGCCTTTTTATGTCTGGGCTAAGCACAGAACAATTGAATCATATGGATGATCATACTTTGCCACATAAATATGGGATTGGATTTACAAATATGGTGGAAAGGACAACACCAGGTAGCAAAGACCTTTCCAGGTAGAGTTCATTTCAAGTTATCATATAGTATTTCTTAGAAAATTACAGTCCTATTTTTTATTTGTGCTGTTTTGTCCTCTTTTCAGCAAAGAATTTCGGGAAGGAGGACGTATTCTAGTGCAGAAATTGCAGAAGTATCAACCTAAAATAGCTGTTTTTAATGGAAAATGTAAGTTTTTAAACATGAGACTTAGGTATTTCATTGCGATTGAGCTTGTATTATAACTGATGGATATATTTCCAATTTTACTATAGGTATTTATGACATTTTTAGTAAAGAAGTTTTTGGAGTGAAAGTTAAAAAATTAGAATTTGGACTGCAGCCACATAAGGTTCCAGATACAGAAACAGTAAGTTCTTGTCTTGCTTAGGAATATAACTAGATTTTTCACATTTGTGGAAAGATTTTTTTTAATATAATTTATTTAAATATGTAAAGAAAACTTCTTGTTGTTTGGTATATGAGTCTTCATTTAAAATTATTGTTGTTCTCTTAAGAGTTTAAGCTTTCAGCAAGTATGCCCAAAATCAAAACGTTTTGAAACAAACTTAGTATTTGAAAATAATTTCCAGTTCAATGACATACTGGCTACTTTTTCCTGAATTTTTTTGTACAGCTTTGCTATGTGATGCCATCATCCAGTGCAAGATGTGCTCAGTTTCCTCGTGCACAGGATAAAGTTCATTATTATATAAAGCTCAAAGAATTAAGGGATCAATTGAAGGGGGTTATATCAACTGCTGAGGTCCAGGAAGTGCAGTATACATTTGACTTACAGCTTGCACAAGGTATGCCATATGAAATCAAAATAGTAATGATTTACTTAACATGTCAAATCTACAAAAGTAAATAAAAGTAGGCCTGAACAGTTATTTAGTGCTATGAACTAATGGATTACAATATTTACACTTTTCAGATTTAATGTTTACACAATTATACAAACTCTGAATAGTTAATCTCCTGTATGATTTCTTCTGTAAGGCAACTCTTACTGATAGAGCAGGATATTTACAACATTTCAAGCCATGATTTGATTTTATCCTGAAGTAGGATAACTGTTGACAAATTGTTATATGTTTAAGTGTTCAAAAAGAGCCATTTCAACACTCTGAGTTTGGTTTATGCAGAGGAAGCTAAGAAGATGGCTGTCAAAGAAGAAAAATATGATCCAGGATATGAAGCAGCCTATGGAGGAGCTTATGGTGAGAAAACAACCTCTGAGAATGAACAGTGTACCTTCTCTGCAAATGGAACAGGTAGCATGAAAAAATTCAAATTACAGTTTTATTTTAATCTATTTTCCGTAACTGAGAAGACAATAAAATTGTTTCTTGGCCAGGCCAGTCAGTTGCAATAGTTAGAATGCTCTGATCTTGAAGCCTCCAACTATCCCCAAATCCTTTTGGCAGTAGATTGTCTAAATGGATGGAATGAAGGAAAGAAAAAATATTTGTCTGTTTTAAGCAATATTCATTGCATTGTATGCAGTGGGAAGGAGTTAATTTAGTACCAAGGGCAGTTTAAACTTTTCTTGTGTTGGAAATATAGAAAGCAAGTACAAGAGATTTGGATTTTGAAGCCAATACCACCTCTAGTCCTGTTTCTTCTCTATAGTGTGGGAATGAGAAAGGCTGCAAAAATATCCACATGGACAGCGAGCAGGAATCTGATCTTGGATTTCCTCTTCTGAAATTGCAGCCATCTTTCCAATATCAGAAGAGGAATTCCAGCACAATCTTTGAGGCCTGGAATGGTCTCCCAGAAAGCCAGAGGACTTCAGGCTTAATTTTTAAAAAATGTCCTAAGTGGAAAAATGCACTTTGAATTCATTATAAACACATGAACAGCATAAATGCTGTAAAGTATGTGGCTCTACATTCTTCTTTAGTATGTACTTTTGGTGCTTCTCTGAATGTTTCAGAGAAACGTGTGAGTCCACTTAAACCTAAGTCCATTTTTTTTGTAGCTGCAAATATGTATTTATTTCATTTTTTCCATTTATATGGCCGCCCAATTGAAATGACTCTGGGCAGCTTACAACAAATTTAAAAACCAAGGTAAAGATGTCAGACCGAAAACAAAACAAATAGCCACCAAGGACAATTATCTGTTTTTGTAAAGCAACTTTTAAAACATATCTTAGATTCATTCAGTGCCCTGTCTCAGTGCCTGCAGGAACAGCCTGATCTTCAATGCCTTTCAAAAGGCCAACTGTCAGCCATATAAGGTAAATAAGACCAAGAAACCAATGCCCTATAGGTCTAAAACTACTTCTTTTGGAAAAACTATAGTAACTTGCAAGCCTGAATGAGCTTTCCCCCTCCCCACTTTATCTTCATGTGAATTAGGGCAGGGCTTGTCTGAGACATTTTCTCAAACTAGTTTCTTGGAATGAACTTAACCCCTGCTTGTCTGATTGTTGCCTTGGTAGCAGTCTTTCTCCTGTCCTTCACGGTCATTCCCTATGGCCTCGTTATCAACAGGGTTACATCCATCCAAATTTTGGGGGGTAACTTGTTTCATAAGAGAAGGGATTGTGACAGAACAAATGATCTCATAGGCTAGCATTTGTGGGATGAAATACTAACTGTGAGCAGTTGATCATAGTCACAATTGGGAGAAATATGATTATTGCACTTAAAATACAGTCACATGCTACTACAGTTTTATCACCCAACTCTTTAACTTTGAAAACTCCCTAAACTGGAGTATAATAACTTAATTACACCTGTCTAGTAACCAGAACCAGGTAAGATTAAAATAGTTCAGTAAATAGCTTCTAAAAGCCAGTAGTTTGGGAGAGGGCTTCTGAATAAATCATTACATCTCCAAAGGTGAGACTACTTTGGAAAGTGTCTCAAAGATGGAAAAGAAGGCTTTTCCTCAAGTCACTGCTGCCTTTCCTCAAATGATAAGAATATTATTAAAAAGATCTTGAGGAAGATGTTAACAGGCCAGTTTCATTTGAACAATTAGTCATTCTTCCCCCTTTTTATGTTCACTGTCAGGACACGATAATCAGATTTTTTTTCTTGATGCATTGACTAAAATACTGCTGCCTTTTCAGCTATTACTGAAAGGGTCTGAAGTTTAAGTAAATGAAAACTGTGTGGGAGCAGGACTAAAATTCCCCTGAAATGCTATATTTCCACTGTCCGTTACTTCCTTGCTATAATTATGTTAAAGAGATGGAGAAACCATAAGATTATCTAATGATGTCCTTGGCAGTCAAAATGCGCCTTGCACAGGTTTAGAACAAATTCTTTTTCTTCCCTTAGTCTTAATAGCAGCAACTGATGCAGGCTTCTTTTTATGCAGCAACCAGCATGGAGTACAGCAGTGGTTCTTCCTTTGGTGATGTGCCTAATGGACAGTGGATGACGCAGACCTTCACAGATCAGATTCCTGAATTTAACCTCTCAAGACCACAAGAAGAAGGAAGAGTCAGTACTTAGAATCAACTCTATGTGCTGCAGTAGTTTTTTAATGCGGTTGTCAAGAATGGTACCTCAGTTCCCCAACTGAAGCATTTTAATAGCATTGAACCTCTTAGTTTTTCTTAGGATGAGTCATTTTGGTAGATGAATTAGATTAATTTAAAGAAATGTCCTTCGTTAGAGAAAAGGTTTCTCTTCCCACCTTTTTTTATAAGGTTTTTATAGCTAAAATTATTCCATTGTTGCAGTTTTAGCAAGCTGATTTCTCATTTGTGATGTCAAGTGTCTTGTTTTAAATCTGTATTTTGTAAGATACTCTGTGAAGTTATATTTTTAAGGTATTCCTCCCTGGGTGTTGGGATATTCCCTGTGTATGTTATATCTGAATAAAAGGGGGGAAATGTTGATTTAACACTGTTACAAAACAGTAACATAGCAAGATAGTAGAAATGCAAGCCTACCCATTAAGAGAAATAACTCAGAAGGAACTCCAGATTAGTTTACTTCTTCATCCCCAAAGGGGACTAGATTCCTAATTCGCCCTCGGTCTTGTTACTGGTAGTTAAATCTGAAAACTGCCTCTGTTGAAAAGTGTTGTGGTTGAACCAGATTATCTCCACATTTACCCTTAAGTTCAAAAACATTTTTCAGGGACCTAATTCTGTATTTTTCATTTCTGTTTACTGTTATTTCAGTTGCAGTTCCTCTTCTCCCTCCTCCTACCATCCTGCTTTTAATTCATTCCCAAATTATTTCAGCCATGAGTTATGTACTGGATATCATGATCTATAGGCTTATGTTGCAGCCAATTTCAGTTGGCATTACTGGTATCACTAAATGGTTCACCTTGAGTAAAACAATGCTTTCTATGCAGCTGATATAACTAATTTTGTATTTGTTGCTCTAAGTTAGGCTTGGAGAAGGAAAGTTAGATGTGAGAACAGGAGTTGCACTATTTTTTCTGTGATGCTCCACTGTTCTGCTTGTGTAGAAGAGGATATGTACTCTGTTAGAATATTCTGCATGCTGTGATGAATTTGCAGTGCAAACAGATTGTGACCATTGTCCTTCTAAAAACATAGCTCATGCTGAGAATGTTTGTGCTACCTATGCCTTCTGTCCTCCTCTGGTCTCCTTTCTTCTTGAGAGGTAGAGATAAAAGCAATAAGAGAAGTAAACAGAGTTTTTCATAATCTATTGATTAGGTGCTTTGGATACTTGAATTATACACCAGAACTTTATTTCCATATGTATATAATTTAGATAACTATTTAACGATTTCACAAACAGCTGGAAATATTTAAAATGTCTTAGTCTATTGGCATTAGGAAGTATGGGTTGAATGGATCAATTTAAAGTAGAACCATAGCTTGCTAGTCACTTTGGAACTTTTCCAGAGTGTTTTGATTTGCTGCTCATTAAAAGATGAGCATATTTATGACCTGCCACAGAATCATGTACATTAATCCTCCAACACAATTCTCTTTAACATTAAGATGTGTATCGAGTTCTGATCATGTTGGTTAGTCTCTGTGGAAACTCCATGTCAACAATCTAGTGAATTCATTTGTAGCACAATCTTATGCATGTTTATTCAAGTTGAGCTCCAATATATTCAACAAGGTTTACTTCCTAGTAAGTGTGCTTAAAATTGCACACTTATGTGTCACTGTTTACATGGATACTTTCTTGCAAGTGCTTGAAGTGCCTTGCATCAGGGATCTGGAACAATTTTTTAAAAAGATAATTATCTTGCCGCAGATCATGCATAGCTCACTATTATGATGTGAAAAGGGGATAACTTGTTTTGAAACATCCAGGTTAATGAGATATGAATGCACATCAGTTCTGGAATATGGTGCTTTAAAACGTATTTAATATCTCTGATCTGCCATTTTTTTGCAAAAAACAGGAATTGTTATAATATTTTCTGGTGCTTTATTGTAACATTGTTTAAAAGTCAATGATTAATTGTATTTGTGCTATTACAACAAAGCAGTCCTAAATTATTTGAAATAAAATAATGGGTGTTTAATTTTATTTGGCTTAATGTTGGATACAGAAGATACAGTTAAGGCAAAACCTTTTTATTGAGAAGTATTACAAATAGTATTTTAGTAAATTCTTATTTACAGAATTATTTAAATAGAGACCTTGGTGTTGTAAAGGTTATTTTCCCTAATCAGTGTTTCATTTCAGCTCCTGCTAAAAAGATGATAGTGTGCACACTTCATGGGTCACTACACTTTTGCTAAAGTTTCATTTTGATGAACTTCTTGTATGTCATAGAATCCAGTTACAATCTTATACAGTAGAGCCATGTACAATAAAAGAGGTAAATCCCATCACAAATTATATATACCATGATCATGCTGAAAACTATTCCTGATGTCTTAAAGATAAATGACATAATTAGCTGTTAGGACGAATGAGTTTAAAAGTGCCTGAAGGGTCAGGAACAAACCATTTTTCCCAAAAGTCAATCTGTCCACTAGGGTAGCCCCAAGGCTTATATCTTCCATTCCAGTGAAGTAACTTGGCCTCCTGAAGAAAATGCTCTGAATATCTAGCATCAGGGCTCCAGCCTATGTGAAGAAAAAAAGAAAGAAAAGTAACTTTAATCTTTACCAAAAAAAAAAAAAAACCCTTTTGCTTAGCAATAAATTATGTAGATGGCATTCAGTTAATCTGAAATGTTATCAGTGCTACTCTATGCTTCTTTACCCAGAAACAAGTTACACTGAATTCAGAATTACAGCCACAGACAGCAGATATAACAACATTATTCCACTGTTGTCTTATAGCAACTGATGTGTGTATATTAAAGTGTATAGTATTCTGTACTTTTATAAAAATAGCACAATTTACTGATTGCAGAGAATACTATGCTGAACATTCTAAGTGTAACGTGTAGCAGCAAACAGAATATACGAGATCATGGTAAAAATTCAGTTGAAGATGTCTTGCAGCTTCATTCTTAAACTAAACTATATCACAATGCAAACTTAAAAAATATTAGCTTAATATAATCAAAGTATACAAAATACAAAAACATACTTTATCAGAATCAAATTTTACCTAGATGTCGAATATGCCACAAAGGATCGATAGTTGTATATCTTCCATGGAAAACAATGAGCATTGGAGAAGTGGCCACACCTCCTGCCAGGGTGCTGCTATATAGATTTTCTCTGAAAAAGTTTTTTAAATTGTCAGATGGGCAGATTTATTTTTAAAACAGGAGTTTTACTAAGTGGGAACGCAGTAAATAAAACAATGCAAAATACAATTCAACTAGAATTTAGAGAAGTAGAACACGATTTTACTTTGGGCCAGTAACACACACACTCTTTCACATAAGTTGTGCTCAACCTCTTTAGCTTAAAAGTTGGCCTTTTTGTTGTTTTTAATCTGAGCGTCATCAGAAACTGGTCAAGCTATAGCTTTGCTAAATTAAGTACAGTTACATCCTCTGAAAAGTATACTATATTGATCACATACTTTGTTCAAACACCTAAAACAATGCTGAAGTAAGAGTGACTTTTGAGCTAATACAAATTAAACACATCCCAGAGAGTACTGATACTACCTTAGTCTTTGTGGAGGGAGGATGATACTTCATAAATACAGCAGGACAAAATAAATATGGAGCTCATTTTTACAATCACCACTTGTACATTGATCAAATAAAGTCAATGGGCACTCAGTTCCTGGTATCAGAGAAGAGAGCTGTTTGTACATACGCTACATTTTTTTGCATCCATTTTTCTAACTGCTTTGTGATTCGTTGGCGTTTCCATTCTGTCATGTTGGCAACAATGACACCAGGATTAAATGAGCAGGTGCTGGGACTTATACCAAGATCTCGGATTGTTTGCTTTCGATAGTCGAGGAACCCCATATAAGTGTTCTAGGGAAGAAAGGAATATATGAAACCTCTAAACTATGTGTGCACAATGGGGGGGGGGGGGAGGGGGACAGGGATAGCATATGCCTTTTGCTTGGCATGGCTGAGACACTACCCCAAATATGGGCTGACCAAGGATTAAAAAATGTGTAGCCAGGACAAAAGCTAAATTTGATTTAATCAAGTTATGTTTAAATGTTATACAGTTTATATTGCTTCCATGTAATCAGTTTCCCTTTTCAATAACGTTAAGCATTACAATTTGCTGGCAACTTTGGAAGCGGTGCTTGAGCCCACATCCAGTGGTTTCTGTTTAGTATTGAGAAGAGAAGATAGAGTAGGAATACGATAACACCCAGTTAGCTATGCTCATGCTCAGCCCATCTCCCAGACCTCCCCTCACAGAGGAACAGAGGGCAAATCCCTGGAGGCATAGTTATTGATCATCCACAGGAGAGGGGATTTGAATATTTAATACCTTTAACAGTACACAGGCTATGCTGCCTAGCTGAAATGGTCCTATTAAATGTGATGATTTGAAGAGCCTGATTTATTTATTATGTGCCATCAAGTTTGTGTCAACTCTTAGTGACCACATAGATAGATTTTCTCCATGATGATCTGTCCCTAACCTAGTCCTTCAGCATTTCCAATGGTGCTGAAGAGCCTAGTCTGCTTCAAATTGTGGGGGTGTGTAACATTTATAAACCTTTGAAAGCAGACAGCATTCCACAAAAATTCTAAACCTGCTTTATAGGGGTCTTCTATGCCTCAATCTCTTTCCATTAGTGGAACACAAAAAAGCCAAATTAACTAGTTACACTACTGCCCACTCCTGAACTAAATATATGTCTCAAATTTGACTTCTGGACAATCTGCATAGATTTCTGGGCATCAGTACAGAAGTTCTTCCAAAAAAATTTATTATTATTTTTTCAGTATCCCAATATACCCTCCAGCCTTGTATTCCTGGAGGTCTCTCATCCAAGCATAAGCCAAGCCCACCTCTCCTAAGCTTCTGAATCCAGATAAGATTAGCCAGGGACTACCACTTGCTAAGATACTTCTGAGCTTGCTAAAAAAAGAAAACAAAAAAAGGAAAAATATAATCCTCCCTCCCCCCCAAAAAATTTTTTTTAGAAATAGTTTGTTACCTGCATTCCTACACTTCTAACCATTTCATGAGTTGAAGGTAGATCACAGTCATCTGAAAAAGCTGCAGCATGGCCTTGGGCTAACTTCATGTCATACAGATCTTGGATGTCTCCTAAAGAAAACCCAGGGTTTTTTCCTCCCTCAAAAAACATTATTAATATTATCAATTGTCTTTATATATAAATATTCTAATGTAAAACTTAGATAGCTTCTAGGAATTTCATTATAAGATTCCTGCCACTACTTTCAAACATTCAAATACATAGGGCAGAGCAAAGTTGTAACAACAGCGTCAAAATGTTGGATAGGATAAATGTACTAGGAAAATATGGGATTTTTTTCACAGATAGCTTACCTTGTACAATCACATCATCATCAAGATAAATCACTTTTTCATGTTCATGGATAAGTAGAGGGAGGTAAAATCGAACAAAGTTTAGCTGTTGAATGTTTTAAAAAAGTATTAATAAAGTGGACAATACAAATTCTTTGTACCTAGTTTACCAGACAGTATCATTTAATGTAAAATATCTATCATTCACACAATAACATGTCTAATCTCCACTACAAACAAGCAAACACCCATATAGTGTACAGTGGAATTTTAGTTCGTGTGTGTATTTGCATGTTGTCAATTTTATTTACGAAAAGTTTGATTTTTTTTTTTTTACTTTGTATTTTAAGCTTGAAAATCATGCTTCCCTAATCCTGGATCTTTGATAGACAACCATAACATGGCTACAAAAAATCCAGGTGATTACTAAATGGCAACAAAGAGACAAAAGAACTTCTAACCATTTGCCACTTGAGAGCCCTACCGAAAAATACAACAAAGGTCTTTCAACTAGACTATGATGATCTTTTTTACACTGTGATACATTATAGTATTTCATGGTACCTACTTTGCAGCCTAGCAACTCTGCTGCTCAATAAGGGTCAAAACACATAGTACCAATGCTTGAAAAAAGTGACATTCCTTTACAAAAGAGGTCAGTATAGAAGCATTAATATATATTCACATTATGGAGTTCAACAACCACAACAGGGGGCAGATGCTAGTTTAGTTCTCTACATCAGATCAAATCTGCTGTTGCTCGTCTTGTTTCCCTTTCTCCCTTCTTTGGGCCACCTGAATCTAGGTCTACCATCTCTAGTGTTTGGGAGACTTTCTGAACATATCCCTATTGACTGCAGTTTTTGCCATGAAAAATAACAGAATTATCAGGGCCCTCCAAAGACATTCAACTTCCATAATCCCCAAACAATTTTCCTAGCATTCAAGTGGAACTTGCCTTCCTATAACTTAAATCCATTATTTCACATCCTGCATTCTAGGACGATGGCTTGGTCTTGGCTTTCTATGTGTCAGTGTAATTCTATTGGCATTTTTTCAACTACTTAAAGGGTGCACTTATATCCCCTCAATCTTCTCATTTCCAGATCCCTCATACTATTTTCACAGTTTCTAATCCCTTGGATACCCTTATTGCCCTTCTCTGAACCTATTTCAGTTTATCTGAATCCTTCTGAAAATATGGTGCCCAGAACTGCACATACAACCTACTCAAGGTTGGATCTGACCAATGCAAAGCTGGGTAGAATTATTACTTTCTCTGATTCTGAAATTATATTTTTAGTGAAGCAGCCTAAGATTGCATTTGTATTTTTAGCACTCATGTCAATGCTGACTCATGTTCAGTTTATGATAAATTATAATGCAAAAAAGGCACAGCTGCTTTAAACAGTTGCAATCAGGTGCTATGTTCATGTACACACACACACACATGCTACAAAGCACTTTTTACCCTAAATATGAAGTGCTGCCTAGTTGTATTAACTATCCTACTTAATTTTGCTTCCAGCAAATTTGATAGGCATTTCCTGCTCCTCACCCAAGTCATTGGCAAAACTGTTGAAGAATACACTGCTAGGACTAAAGTTTGCAGCATGTATTTAAAATTCATAATTTTCCCTTATTAGCACATTTAAAATTACATGTTAATATGAATTTTTAGAAATCACATACAAGACTTTGGGTTGGCATAAGCAGTTCTGGAAGTTCAAATTGTGCACCTCCCTAGTTGGGGAACCTTCTTTCATATGTTTATTTTGTAAAGGAAGTTTTGCATACTCACAGGCTGAAGTAATTCGGGACGTGTTGCATCTGGTCTGATTTTCCCTTTAAGCACCATGGGATTGAATTCCACAATTTTAAACTTGATATCTTTCAGTTTGGAGTTTTCAATCCACTGCCTGAAATCCAAAGCAAATAGAAGCAGATTAGAAGAATTCTAAAACAATGAAGATAGTGTTGTAAATGCTTGCTATTACTCCTTCCTCTCATAAGCCTTGGCCCTAGCATCTCTGCACTGAATATTGCTCAAAGCCCAAGGAGTAATTTTTTTATTATTATTATTATCATCATCATCATTATTATTTAAACTATTAAATGACAAATTGTTCTAAAGACTATACTTTAAATTACATTCTTTAAACATCTGATGTTTCTTAATTTTTCAGTTTACTAAGGTAAACTTTCCATAAGGCATTTAAACTGGCCAAATAGGAATGTTCTTTAGGTATTCTGCACTTAATACAGTAATAAGCAATTGGAGCAAGTTTTAGAAATCATTTTGAATTGTGTGATTATACACACTAACATCTGAGATACGGTAATGACCCAACAACTACATATTCTTTCAGCTAAAAAGAAGGCTTCCAGATGGATGAGGCCTAGAGCTAAGGATCAAATGACACAGTGCAGCTGTTCAGTTTCCCCCTCCCAAACTGATGTTTATAGAAAGACAAAAGACAGAAGACATGGACTAGTTACAGACAGAGGAACAGCTTTTTTAGTGAGCTCTTAACTTTTAATTTAAGTTATTTTTATATAATTTAAATTAGTGTATTTAGTGATCTTAATTAATAATTTTAGTATTTAGTATTAGTAATTCTAGTATTCAGGCTAACTGATTTTTTTTAATCCGTTCAATTGTGTCCAATTCTCAGAGACTGCCTGGACAAGTCTCTGCAGTTTTCTTGGCAAGGCTTTTCAGAAGTGGTTTGCCACTGCCTCCTTCCTAGGGCTGAGAAAAAGTGACTGGCCCAAGGTCACCCAGCTGGCTTTGTGCCTAGGCGGGACTAGTCTCCAGGTTTCTACTCACAGTCTCCCAGTTTCTATCCTGATGCCTTAACCACTACACAAAACTGGCCTTCAACTGGTATTTTAACACCCTGGAATCCAATAGTCTCAAACACCTATTCATGATGCAAGGGAATAATAACTTTAAAGCTGGAGCAAAAAAAAAAAAAAAACCTTGAAAAGAAAGAGCAAAGGGAAGAATAAGCCTGAGTTTTTGCCGAGAGAAAATTCCAAGAATTCCGAACACACCAACACTGTGGTGATTTCCAGGCACTAACACTTACAGCAGTGTTATCCAAACTTGGCCACTTTAAGATGAGTGGACTTCAACTCCCAGAATTC